TTGTGCCGAATCCAAAAGGTGGAGGTGGTGGAGGAGCAGAAAAACTTTCTCCAATCTATGTTTTCGTACTTCATATTTGGAAAGTAAATTTAACTTCTGGCTAAGCTCTGACCCTCCACTCCAAGTACGGTAGTACTACACAAAAAACATATTATTTACTGCATTGTTTACGCAAAATTTCTGATTGTATAATTTAATTAGTTTTGGCACTCAGACTTTTTCGAAGGGCCGTCCAGCCAGGCAGCTTTTCGGTTGTGTGAGGGTGAGGGTGAGGGAAACTCTATAAATAACCCATTAAGTGGTTCCGCAAAACTTTATCTGCCGCTTGGACGATGGTTACACGCTGGTGGATGGTAATCATCGGAGGAGAGTTAACCGAAGAGCAGCCACGGAGTCGCCTCCAGAGTCCATGTTTTTGTGTGGGGCCACGCTACTTCGGGTTCGTTCAATTTCAAACTGTTGTGCGGGCAATTATTTTAAGTTTTGTTGACCTGCCCCATCCGTTCTCCATCCATTCTCCATCCGTTCTCCATCTGTTCTCAATTTGTGCTTTAAGTGCCACTGCTGATGCCACGCCTTGTTTTTCAATTAAATGAACACTCCCACACCCCCCACACCCCCCCACACATACAGCACCGCCATATCCGCTGCGCGAATCTGCTGTTGGTTTCATTATTACCAAGAGTTGCCAAATACAAACAATTCCCGAGAAGAACCGAGAAACAAAAGAAGCAGCGAAAAAATCCATGAAAATTGTTGCCGCAATATTGGAAAATGCGCCGTATTTGGGTTGCTTTCAGTAGCTTTCAAAGTAGCTCCCCATCCCCCCCAGCGTCGCCCTACCCTACCCAGAGTACAAATTGAGCAACAAATTCCCCCACCCGCGATGGGGCCGTCCCCTTTATTTTTCACAGAGAAAAGCGTAGGAAAAACAATCGGCAGCAGATTAAGTTCATGCCATGTTGCAGTTACAGTTACAGCTACAGATTTTCCACACCCCCCCACACACACACACACACACCCAGAAACACCCACACACTCTTTTCGCTTTTCATATTCATTTTTGCACATTTTCCTCTTGTTATATGTAGCCGAAAACAAATGTTGCCCGAAACCCCAATCCCAATGCCTGTCCCCGGAAAACTCCCTTTTGGAAAACCCATTCCGAGCATCCTTTCAGACTCTTTTGCGCTTGGCGCTTTTCAGGATCATTGGCAGCGGGTTCGAAATTGTTTGAAAGAGTACAAAGTGGGAGGACGGCAGCGGGGTACGGGGTACGGGTACGGGGACGGAGAGCAAACGTTGCGAAAATATGTCACAACATTTGTTACACATTTTCGGGTCAATTTTATATTGCAACGCCACCATCGCCAACGCCAACGCCACCAATGCCAATGCCCCCCCTCGGGCCGCCCTTGCATACTCGTAAGCAAGCAAGCAAACAGCAGCAACCCACATGATTCCGGAATCTTGTCACAGCTGCTGGGAACTGCCTTTTCCCTGTACCCCTGCCCCCCCTGCCCACTGCCCTTTCGCCTTTTAGACCCCAGACCCTACTCTCACCCTCCCTTCGTAGCGCCAGTGTCATTGACACTAGCTTGTCTCTAAGTTCTTTCAATTAAAATCCATTCAACTGGGAAATCGTCAACAGTTTTTGGAAGCATCCAACAAACATTTGGATACCCTTTGAAAACGTTTTATGGCAAGAAGTTTGCTTGGCGGGGGTGAGAATAAGTCTTAAATCATAATTTACAGTAAATAAATATACATAAACCCGGTAATAATATAGTAGAATAATTCGGAGAGTAAGAAAAATATTCCCCTAAAATGTGGAATTAATTCAGTTAAATATTATATTATTAGCTATATTTAAACCAAGAAATAGTTTTGGTTGCAGCCACCAATTAACCCACTGAATAGAGCTAACCTTTCACCCTATGCAAGTCTCCTGCTCTCTCTCTCTCTTGGGGGTACGATATAGGGTAATAACACGCGATCCAGTAGAATAACTGCAAATTAATTATGCACAACAAACGGCGCGACTGTAAGCGACAGAGAGAGCGAGAGACCCCCAACCGTGAAGCACACACAATACACACAAATCCCATGTCCGTCCCCGTAATTGTTGTTATAATTGTTGTGCAATCCCCCCCAGACCAGACCCCGCCACCGAACCCCATCAATTCCCCAACGAAAGACCGAGACCGAACCGAACCGACCCCACCCCGGAAAACCAGTCACGATTCAGCCTAAGCAAATCGCCAGTGCCAGTGCCAGTGTCAGAGCAGCAGCAGGAGGAGGAGGGAATGTCGACCGCAAATTAATTTACAACGTAAACTGCAAAATTGAAAATTATGTTGTAATTACTCAATTCTGACGTTTTTCCCATTGACCCAAATTTATGTGGGGCCACACACACACACACACACGAAACACTCGAGAGGCAGAAGCAGAGGCAGCAGCAGCAGCAGAAGCATCCTCCATCCATAGAGTTTGAAGATGATGGTGTGGACTCCTTTGGATAATCCTACTATACAGTCTCTTGTAGTCTGTAGTCACTGGCTCTCTCTGGTTCTCTGGTTCTCTGGCCAACCTTTGTGCCAATTTAAATGCGTAATTATAACGAGTGCCAGAGCAGTTAGAGACCGTTCTCTGGCCTGCATATTAATTACGTTCCAGAACAAAAAGGGAAACGAACGAAGAAAATCAGGAGCTGGCAGGTCTCTCTGGGGCTAGGGCTGGGGCCGGGGCCCCGGACAATAGGAATTTTAATCAAGGATCAGCGTGCTCGAATTTATTTAAAGGTGAAGGAAACACCACCCTCTCCGCAGCCTCTCCATATCCAACCCATCCTCTCCAGGCCCATCCCAACTCTGGCACTGGCTCCGCCACTGGGTCTGATAATCTGGTCAGCATGTTTCAGGCATGCCTTGAATGCCTTTCCATTCTCTTCGACTCCACCCTGCTACGTCGCCTTGGGGCTCTGCCCAGCCAATTGTCTGCCTGTGGGTCTCGGTCGCCCATTGAAAGTGGGCTACAATAGGGGGGCTAATTAAGAGTGGAATGACAAGTCGAAGAAATGGATTTCAAATGGATTTCAGCAAGTAATAGCACGATGGTAAGCAGAGGTGGAACACCCATCCCCGATCGGTGGAGCGCCCATGGACAGCATTGCATCTACTCTACGGAAATTCAGTTGTATAGCGGTTAAGGAGTTGCTGTTGAAGAGGCTTATGCCGATCCCCATATATGAGTTTTCGTAGTGTGGCGGTTCCACATTTAAAATCATTATTTCTTATTTTATTTATTTTCTTATTACTTATTTTCTGATTATTTCTTCGCGGGGACTTTTTGTGTGTGAAGCACCTTATAGAGAAAAGTCCCAAGTCCCAAAGCATTAAAATTTCGCTCAGAATATTGATAACAATTCTAAGAAATAATGAGGATCGAAACCGGGCGGGAACAGATCTTTTTTTATATTTGTTTTTTATTTAATTTTCTTGAGAAATATGTACTGCAATTCCCGTATACTACACCTAAAATTCTTCCTTTAATCTCTCAGTATTTCAGATCTAAAATATATTACAGTGAAATTTTGGTATGTGGACTTTTTAAATGTTTGCCTTCCCCGAAAAAGATAGCCCTTGATCTGATTGAACAACGGAACTCACATATACCATATATACTTTGTTTATTTGTTTGTTTATTTATTATTCATCATTGTTTTCATTGCAAGTTATCGCAGCTTTTTATGTATGTATTTTCCTAGAACTGTTAGATAAGTTATTGCCGCCTGAATATTTATATTTATTTTTGAATATTTAATAATTAGAATTACTAGAACGTTTCATACAAAAAAAAAAGTAAACCCCTTGTAGTTTTTTCTATCTTGTTTACGACTGCCTTTAAAAATCGCCAGTAAGTTATACCGCTATACCCAGCGCTGTGAAAAATTGTATTGATTAGTTTTATGCGAATTTTTTCAATTCAAATTTTTCCAGAGTTTTTTCGAGCTGCTTCTCAAACTGTATGGTGTTTGATTTCAATGGCGCCACCTATGAGACGCTTTATTAAATACTTTACATTAACCACTTTACATGGCAATTTTTACATGTCGAGAAAGAAATTTATTTTAAAATTTAAATTTTAAATTAAATTTTGAAATGAACTTAACACATGAATAAAGATTTATTCATGGCGAAAGGCGAACGACAAATACCCGTTTGTTGTGAAATAAGCTCTAGGCAGTGGAATATTTTAGCACCCAACCACCATGACCCTTTTGACCCCCCATACCACACAGTGTGGCGTGAATCATTCTCTTACTCTACGAAATAAAAGCTTTCGCACTTGTCAGCGAGTACCTTACCTTATTTTATATAACATTCACGCGTTTTTCTTTGCCAAATGAAAGCTTTTTATAAACAAAATACACCAAAGCTTTCTTTCTCACGCACAAGCAATACACATACATACATCTGTTCTGAACATAAATGCACGAAATTGTTTCGTCTTATCGGCGTGGTAATGCGAATATATTTGATGATTTAGAACTGCTGTAAATCACTTGTAGATTGTGTTATAATTTTTAGCAATTAGAGCTACTTGAGTTGGTCGTTTATTGGTGATTTATGTGTAATATTTCGATGGTTAAAACACTAAGAAACACGCGCAGCAACCGGCTTGCAGAGAGAGGGCGACAAAAAACGCGTCCGTCAGCTGTGACCATTGCGCAGAGAGTGGCGGCGAAACGAGAGAGAGAGAACACAGAGTGGAAGCAGAGAGCGGGAGTAATAAGTGGCAGATTTAGAGCCGGCAACAACAGAGAGGAAACAACCTTATGCAATAAACAGAGTCACGTTTCTGCTCCCCTTTCAATTCGTTGATAAAGAAAACCTAAATGAAATGCTCGCACTCTCGCATAAAAAAGAATGAATGAAACTTATCATCAGGTTCTACCCTTCCGCTTCCCCCATTGATAACGAAAAGACGAGTAGTAATCAGATAATAGGGGGGGATAGAAATATTTATAGAAATATAAACTCGAATGAATCATCCGCCCATTATGTGGATCTTGCAGCAATGTAGTTCCCCTGGACAGCTGCCATTCACCTTGAATAAGTCATAGCAGGCATCGTGCAGGCAGAAGGCCATGCACTCTGGCTCCGTGTGGACGACATCTAAAGGAGAAAGGATAAAGATATCGCTGGATATGAATTTCGGTGGGGTTTGTCTCGCTCTTACACTTTATTTCACAATTTATTTCTGCCAATGGGACAGACAGCAGGCAGAGTAAAAAAAGTAGCTTCATGATGGGGGCCAGACGGAACACTGAAGGTTAAAGTTTCGGGGCTGATAAAAGTATTTCCAAAGCGATTCTTTATGCTGGCTTAAGAGCCATGGAGGATGACCAATTGATAAGGGGGAACGAAATGCAAAACAACGTGACATTCAAATGGGAACAACTAGGCAGAAAGGTTCTACCAATTATGTGTATTTATACACCCATTTAGGGCATGACGCGACAGCAAAATCCAACTACGCAATCGCCAGGTGCTTGGTATATAAATTCACATCGTGCGGGCTGGCACTGCGCACTGCACTCATCCTTGGGAGGAAGTTGTATGTCTAGAAGGGGAAAATATAATTAAATTAGATAATATTTAAGGTTGAAATTCCATGCGGAAACTCACTAACTAACTGGCTGTGAATCGAGCCAAAAGAAAGTGCCCAGGCGAAAAGAAAGCAGCAGAGTTTCATGACTGAACCAACACAACTAAATGAAAATCCAACTAAATGGTGCACTATGTTAGCACTCGGAAACCTGCAATCGGATTAACTATAGCGAATTTCTTGGACACACTTTATTCGTAAACGTTTAAATATTAAATAATTAAGTTAACAATGGAACAAAAGTGTTAATAAATAAAGGAAGGAGTCAGGGCATCAGTGGAACAGGGGGATCGGGGTCAGAGCATTAAGAGTACGTAGTAAGAGACTAGTAAGTAACTAAACCTAGGCTACAAGTTACAGGCTAAGCGGATGGATCAGTCCGATGATCATCAGTCACGCGTGTGATCTCGTATCCATTCCAGGTACTCAGTGACACGTGTGTACACACCTGCGAGGGGTAAATTGATTAGAAAAGATACCCAACAAGAGTTTGTATGATGACCTACCAGGATAGCCCGGCTCGCCGCACTTGTTGCCAAACGACACAACGCCCAGCTGCACCCAATGGGAGTCATAGCGCATCATCAAAGGCCCACCAGAGTCACCCTATAGGGCACAAACCAAATAAATCTCTCTGCTTAAAGATCTTCCTTGCAGCAGCATTGCTCACCTGACACGCATCCACGCCGCCATCGGAGTAGCCAGCACACAGGAAATTCTCGTTGATGGGCTGGAAGTAGCTGCGATCGCAGTCCTCGTTCCGCCAGATGGGCAGCTCTGCCTGCCGCTGGCTGGTGGACTCCTTGCCACCGTAGTAGGTGGTGCCCCAGCCCACCACAGTGGCCCGGCGTCCCGGCAGCCGCTCCTTCGGTGGCATTCGAATGCCCTTGGGCAGGCAGACGGGTATCACATATTTCGATTTCCTCACGGGTTTGTCCAGCACCAGAATGGCAATGTCGTTGTAGAAACCAATGCGTGAGAAGCTGCCAAAAAAAAGAGAGTTATATTTACCATCTGCAGCTCAGGGAGGGGCTAGGGCAACCTACCGTTCATGCGTCCTGACCTCCTTCACGGCAAATGTGACCGGATCCGAGGGCTCCGCATCTGTGGACAGATCTATGTCGCCCAAGCGCACGGTAAACTGTCGTGCCGCAAAGCTGTAACGAAACAGGATCTGTTGGATCAGCAATCAATCGAGGAAGAATCTGCCAAAGTAAACCTACGGCTTCTGCCTCGAGTCCCGCGTGCAATGCGCCGCTGTCAGGATGTACTTGCTGCCAATCAGGGAGCCCCCGCACCAGAACTCTGTGCGCTTGGGGCCGTGCAGAAAGATGGCTGCCATCCAGGGCCACTGGCCATTGGGTGCCTCCACGCCGCCCACGATCCGGCCCGTGGAGTACTCCTGCTGTCCGCACTCGTCCGGATCCACAATGTTGTTGCCAATCTCGTCCAGGCCCTCGGGCTCCAGGGGCACTTCTGTCGTTGTCGTCGTAGTGGTGGTTGGCGGTTTCTTCTGGGGAATGAGCACCAGACCAGAGGTGGGCCGCGTCGTGGGTCTGGCTGTCGCTGGCCGCACAGTGGTGCGTTTGGTGGTGCTGCCGGGAGTGGGTTTGGCCGTCAGTTTGAGCGGCCTCTGCGTGGTGCTCTGCAGGGCGAAACTCTCCGAAGTGCTGACCGAAGACAGGGGACAGCAGACGCCCGGCACGAACAGACTCTTGAAGCACAGGGACTCGCGCAGGCTGCTCAGATTCAGCAGCAGCGCAGGACAGCTGCTGAGATCCTCGCAGCGTCCCGCCCGGCCGCTTGGCGTCTTGCAGTAGTTCTCCACATCCTTGCCCGTGCCGGACTCCTCCGCCTCCTCACTGCTGGCCAAAGCCAATTGATCGAGAGGTCGTAGGGTCACTGGCGTGATCCTCGTGCTGCTGCTGGTTGTCGGGGTGCTGCTGCTGCTGCTGGTGGTGGTGGTTCGAGGCGTCGTTGGAATTTTGATCTTCTGCTGGATCTGCTGCGTGCCCTGCAGCTGATCCTCGCTGGGTTTCTGCTTCAGCTTCTGCTTGTTCTTGTTCTTCTTCTTTTTCTTCTTCTGCTTGAGCTCCTTGTTCTCGACGAACATGGGGGAGGACTCGACGCCTATTCTTTTGGTTGCCACCTGTTGAATGGCACTCAGATTGGCTGGCCTGCCCGCTGGCAGCAAACTGTTGGCGGAGAGTGTAATGGGGCTGTCCAGCAGCTTGCCAGAGATGCCCGGCAGGGGCTCCGATCTGCCCAGAGGAGAGGATGTCACGATCTTCGTGCTGCTGCCACCGGCGGGGGCGGGAGTGGGCGTTGTTTCTGTGGTGGAAGCGGAGCTGGAGGTGGTGCTGGAGCTGGTGCCGGGGCTCTTGTCATCGCTTCCCTCACTCTCCGGCTTGGCCGCATCCTGTCCCCCTCTGGTCATGTCCACCAGCATGTGTCCCACATGATTGATGGCGCCCAGGGTCTCCGATATCCGATTGAATGTCGACTGGGAGAGCAATCGTGGCAGCGAGTCGTTGCTGTCCTGCTCCTCATCGCTGTCATAGTACTCGCTGGAGCCCTCCACATCGTCCTCATCCTGTTCATCATCCTCGTACGTGGATGTGGACTGACTGCTGCTCCCACTCCCACTGCCGCTGCCGCTGCTTGCGGAGCTTAGGCTCTGGCCGAGATCCTCGCGCAGCTGGCGACCCAGTCGCTTGTCATGGAGTTGGGGCTGAAAGAAAGACGCTGCCTTCAAGGTTAAAGTTATGAATGTCCGTGACAACAAATCTCATGGCGTGCGGACTTACCGTCGTTTGTCAGATGCAGCGGCTGTTCGTCGTCGTCCTCTTGGGCGTGGATACGCAGCAACACGCAGCCAGCAAAGAGGACTACAAAGAGATAAAGGAGCCACAGCAATTAGCAGAATTTATTTAATAATTATTTAACATCATTATTCATGGAGTATTTATCAATTTCAGGCCACTAAATTGCAGCAATCTTCAATGATTCGCATGCCCAAGCCGGAAAACTATTATGCAGCTCTAGCTATACGTTTTTCTTTCCAATTCTCATCGCTCTGCTATCCATCACTGACCTAACACACACTTCAAAATCAAACAAACAATGGCCATTGCCTTATGCAAAGTCTCCACAGCACCCCACCCCCCTAAAGCGAGTGTTCGGTTCGGTTCCGTGCGGTTCGTCTTCGCTTGAATAATGTCACAAATTGGCATTACGCATACGAGTATCTGTAAGTACTTTGCCTCCCAAAATGAGAAAGTATGTCGCTGGTTATGACTCCACCACAGCCAATCCTCCCCTGCTTTTTGGTGGCGTTTAATGTTTATTTAAGTTTTTTTTTTTGTATGTGATTTTTTTTTTTTTGTGGTGGCTGCCGTGACATAATCTCTGTGGGCTCGTTGGGCTCCAGTTGGCTGGCTCTGACTTTGTTTAATGACTCGACATGTTTTCTTTTTGGGGATCTCAGACGAGGAGGAGGAAGTGCAAGTTCCTGCTGTTCCTCAAGGTCGCCGCTACCCCGTAAACAGATTTCACCTCTCTGCCAGACGAAAAGGAAAACCAACAAATTGATTATTATCCAACGATTTGGGTTAAGTTTTTTGTTGTTGTTGTTGTTGTAGTTTTGCTTTTATTTTGTCTGGTTTTTGCGGCTCATTAACATTTTTCGAGGTGTGCGCCCTGCAACGACGAACGCTCTTTTTTTATTTTTTTGTCACTTTCACTTGGAATAAAATGGCAATGGCAATGCTTTGGTTTGCTTTGCTTTGCTTTGGTTTCTGTGTGCTGCCCCTCCATGGGGCATGGACACAATGGAATATTTTGGCCAATTACAGGGCTTAATACAGAGACACAAAAAATCTGAGAGTATCAAAAGTGAATGGCCCCAAAAAAGTCTGCGCGCAGACGCAGACTCAGGCAGAGACTCTTCTGGCATAGATATAGGAATATTGGCATTTATTTGTGGTTCATTGTTTGCAAAAGACTTTTGTGTAGGTGTTCGAATGGCTGGAAGATGACCTGAAAAGGTGTCACACTCTCCATTGGAATCAATAAAAGTGAAAATTAACAAACAGAAATGAATATCTAGAGCAGATCTAAGTGGGTTTTCAAGTGTTATTTATCCAATAGATTCATTTGGATATCTGCAACACAAAGTAGGTCCATAAATTATATGATATATATTAATATTCCTGATTAGCAGCAAAAGCCAAATCGATCTAGACATATATCCAACTGTCCGTCCCGTTTGGCGTGTACTTCCCACAAATGCATTTCAATTTGTATTTTTCAACGTCTTAAAATATTTTCTAAAATTTGTAAAACCATTAAAAACGATTTTAATTATTTTGAATGCTCAAAACTAACAGAAAAGTATTTGGTAAAATATCCAAGATATGATTCAACAAACAAACTTAATTTACAAAGCAACAATTGTATTTTTATCTTTACTTCAATTAAAACAGACAAAAAGCACACAAGGCTTAAAGCCAATCAAAGCCCACCAGCTGTTTTTTCCCTCGGTTTTCCAACTCAAATGAAAGTGAAAATCCCCCCCACAAAGAGAGATGTCATGCGGTGGAAAAACTATCATTTGTGAAGCGTGTGGCAGTGGCTGGGGCAGGGGCAATGTGCAACAAACAGCTGCGTGCCATGACTATGACTTCCGAAAGCCGCAAATGCAGCCGCCGAGGAGGTAGCATTAAAATTGTGTGCACTTCATGGTCAGGCCATAAATAAACCCGTCGCCTGGATGTTTGGGGGAACCGGCACCAGCAGCAGCAGTAGCAGCAGCAGCTGATTGGGCTCTGGGGAGGGGGTGAGCCAGAGAGTGTTGACAACATCAACGGTATTTTTTATGTGTTGCATAATAGATGGTCAGGCCTGCTGTTGCGGTAATACCAAGAAAAAACACGTACTCTACGCGAAAGAAAGAGCAACAGATTGGCCTTGGTCTCTCTCTCTCTCTCGCTCTGTCTCTCCCCTGTCTCTCTTTCGATTTGCATTTGCCATTTGGCTCTGACGTCACGTGGTGGTGGCCGGAAGTTTTATTGCTTGCAAACGAAAGTTGCCACAACGAATCATCCAAGTGCATTCAGACTTTCATTCAGATACCATTCAGATACCTCCCTCATGGAAAAAAGCGGTCCCATCAAACGTCCAGCGTTTGTTGCTTAAGTCTTTGGTTTTTATTATTTACTTTTTGGCACAAATTAAGAGGAATCTAAATCACTGCATTAATTATTACAAAATGTCACACGATATCCAATGGAATTTGGGTTAATTAATTGTTAATTTTTTGTATTTTATTTTATTTTAGTATGGGTCTGTTTTCATTGTGTGGAAAATACGCACCTAAACACAGTAGAAATGCATTCGAATGCATCTTGCCAAACATCGCTCGATTCGAATTTTTTTGTTGTATTCCGTTTTTCTTTTAGTTTTTCAACATTTGCCAGATTTTGTTCACTTTGCTTTTTGTTTACTATTATTTAACACACTCAACGAAACACCGCACGTCTGCGCGATGCGATGCGATGCGACGCGACGAACTCAACGAAACACAACGAAACGAAACGAAAATGAAAGTGTTAAAAATTTCGACTTGGAGCGTTGCTTTTTTATGGAAATTGTTTCAGACCGAAAGTGTCTCAATTTTGGTTGTTGTTGTTGCTGTTTACGAGTCTGCCAATTGGCTTTAATTGAATTTTGTAATATTTATTTTTATGCGCCACTCGCCGATTGCCGATTGCCGATTGCGAAATTTGCAGTGAAAATTTCACTTCCAATATGTTTGGATGTTTGGATTTCTGTTTAAAATTCACACTAAAATATCAGCGTATTTTTTCGTGTTTATTTTTGCTCGTATTATTATAAGTATTATTCCAATATTGTTCCAAGATTCCAAGTTTTTGTGGGTGTTGCGGCTCCTGCTTCCGTGTGCCGTTGCTGCCCGAATTCGACTGAAATTGAAACTGAAAAACGGCAAAAGACAAAACACCAACCAGCGAAGACAGTCTCGCGGGCTTCAAAATCGTACAACAATCTTTTTTTTTTAGTGGGGAATGGAATCGCAGAGTCGTTGTCAGGCAGCTTTGGCTTTAGCTTTTGTGTTGCTGTTGCTGTTGCAGATCGTTTCATTTTCGTTTGTGGAAAGAGTGGAGAGAGGAGTGGCGGCATGGGGAGTAAATGAAAGAGTGCAGAGTGGTGGGGCTTGAGGGAGTGCTGTGCAGAGAGAGACTTAATCGCCGCAACGGTAGCTGGATTTTTACTTTCTTCAGACTTTTGGGCATTGTCTGGCAGTGTCTCTCTCTCTCTCTCTCTCTTTCTTTCTTTCTCTCTGGGCCCCAGAGCTGTGACGCCAGAAGGCAGATGAAGAGCCCAACACCTGAGAAGCAGCAGCAGCGCCACAGAGGCACAGAAAAAAGAGACTTACAGATTGATTGGAGTGGCTTAGTTTTATGCAGAAATCTGCGACAGATCTGCAGATTACCATAAGCTTTCGGCAGAAATTTATAGAATTTTTGTGACACGAATCGGTCGGAAAACGATGCCAAAATATAGCACCAAATAATGAAGGTATTTCCCACATTTTGTGGTGAGTTTTCTTAGGCAGAAATTTGTATAAATTTCGTGATAGAATGAGCAGTAAATTGGTATCAGAACTACCTTAAAAGAAAGTATAAAACAATGCCTATATATATCTCCTAAAGAGTGGAGAAATCAATCAATATTTTGCAGATTTCTTAGACAGAAATCGGAATAATTTTGATTATTTTTTTCGTTTGTTTTTCAGGCACAAATCTAGATCTTTCCTTATGTTGCCAATGGAAATTTGTTAAGCCAAAAGCTACCTTGAACAACAACCCGCTTTGAACCCATCGTTTCTTTGGGGCTAAACAAATTTACATTGAGCACACACCCACATAAACTACTCGTACTCGCAGCACTATTCGGAGGCTCAACCTCAGGTATTCCCCGGCTTGCACAACCTTCCTATGTTTTTTCCTCACTCTCTCACAACAACCTCTCATAGAGGCAGGCAGGCAGCAGTCGTACGTTCGAGTACAAACTGTGAATCATATTTTGACTGTGGTTTCCCCAAAAAAAAAACTCTTGGCGCTTCGGTTGGCCCACTTTTAAATGCAAATAATTTCAAGCGAAAATAAACTAGAGACAATAATACTCGTATCGATGAATTGATGAAAAGGAGAAACCCAAACCAAAATTAAATGGAAATCCTTGGGTTGCAGAGAGAAGAAGAGCGTGCCCAAGGAAACCATTCGTAGTGGAACGCTGCAGATGGAAGTTATTGAAGTTTTCGATATCTTTGCATCGCCCTTTCATCCTCTTATCTTTGTCTCATTTGCTGGATTTTGTATCTGTTTTTTTTTTGTTGTGTGTTGTTTTGTTTTTCTGCTCTTTGCTCTACGCTCGTCACTAACGACCGTGAAAAGGCAAAAGTGTAAAAGTGTAAAAGTGTAAAAGTGTAGAGCGTGTGACCAACATAATTAATTGGGTATTCATAAAGCCAGCCATCAGCCAGCCAAGAGCCAGCACCTCCACCATGCTGTAGAAAGAAGCGAACGAAACCCGAGCAAGTTCCATTGTTTGTCCAAATGTTGACACCTTTTGGAAAGAAAAAGCAGCGCAAAATAATCGTCTAACGAAGAAGAGTGTTAATAAATGAATGGGCATGAGGGGCCTAATGGCTGAGAAAATGTTGGAAATGTATAATGCAAATGCTCCATAAAAAAAAAGTATGGTAGGGTATGGTAGAGCGGGTCTATAAAGGGAGGTACACACTTACGTTAGAGTTCATTGCATGGCTGCAAGTACATTAGAAACTTCCAAAGCTTTAAGGAAAGACTTTTTCAAACAGCTGTTTGAAGCAGCTTTCTTTACCGTTACAAAGAAAGCACAGCAAAAGCTTTCGTGAAAGCTTAGTTTTGTATTTTAAATGCAAGTAACGGCCAGTTATAAAGTATTATTAAGGGTATACACAAAACAATTCCCCGTAAATTGCCAGCACACTTCCCATCTCACTCTCACAGAGCAGCTTAGCAGTCAATGGTCTCTCTCTCTCTCTCTCCATGTCTTCATCGCTTACTCTTTTCCAATGAGACTCTGTTGTAGTGTAATTTTTCTGTCTATTTATTTACAATTAAAAGCATTTGTTTGGTTGAGACATTAATTAATTACATTTGATCGATTTGCACTTAATGCTACAGCAGCTACAACGTCACTGGAACTGGAATCTCTGAACCTTGAAGCTTGTTGCAGGAATTTTGTATTGTTCATCGATTATAATAATTGATAATTAATAAATATTAATATTAATATACTCAGAGTGTGTGGTGTGTCCAACAATATTTTTGTCTATGTTTTAAAATTCATACGACTTAAAGCTTCTGTGCGCCTGAAAGCTTAACAGTTAAGAGATATATTTATACGAGTATATATACGATATACTGATACTGATATATGCGATATATATGCGAACAATCAACGTTTAAGAGCGAGCATATGTACAGAGAGGGATCAGAAGGGGACAGTGGGACAGTGGGGGAGCATCACATTACAGATACTCGTAGAACACACACCAATAGATGCCATTGAGGCTGGCAAAGAGCGCTGGGAAGAGCACACGCGATGCCCGATCGATGTAGATCGCCCGCTTGAGACGCTCCTGGGCGGGCGTCAGCTTGGGCTTGGGCAATTCCGGCTCCACTGGCAACGGCGGCGGCGGCGGCGGCGGCCGAGGAGCAATGCCAGGTGTGAGTATGATATGCGACTCCTGGCGTGGTATCCAGGGTCCATCGGCATCCAGGGGCGGTCGCACCACACGGCGTGTGGTCGTCACAATCTAAGGAAGGGCCACACCATAAGAGAGATCTTTAAGCGAAAAATATTGGTACAGTATTTTACCCTCTTGTTTTTGGTCATCTCGTCGAAGATCTTCTCAATTTTCTCCATCTTCTCATCGGCCAGTGGCAGCATTGTGGGCTTACTGGCCGCCGGATTGCCAGCACCTCCACCCCCACCCGATTCCGGATCCTTTTTGGCTGGGCCCTCGCCGGCCACTGGCTTGGGAGGATAGGCAATGGGCTTGGGTATGGGCGTGTCACTCAGCACAATGTTGATCAGGCAGTACTCCATGAGGGCCATGAACACGAACACGGTGCAAACGGACATGAAGGCATCCACGGCCTTGAGGTAGGAGACAGGCGGCAGCGAGGACTGCGACTTGGCGTGTTGCGTGGACAGTGTGAGCAGGGAAGTTACCCCAAGGGTGACCCTGGCCGGAGCCGCCTCTGGCTTGATCCAGAAGGACACCCACGACATGATCACAATCATGCAGGTGGGTATGTAGGTGTTGAAAACGTAGTACACGAGACGCCGCTTCAGGGTGAAGACCACCTCCAGGCAGGTGAAGTTGCCCGTGGAATAAACCTGCGTGCAGTCCGCGGTTTCATTGCGTATCAGCGCCACCTGGGGCAGTTCTATGTTCTCGTCCACCACCAGCGGTGTGGTGGGATCCCACTGGAAGATTAGATCATCCGTGGTGTGGGACACTGAGGGGGAAAAGAAGCACGCTAGAGTACAGATTTCTGTGGAAGAATTCGCTGACTTACGGCTCTCCATTTGCAGCTTGCACTCCTGTGTGTCGTGCGGATAGATGGCAAAGTTCATGATGCACGACAGCTTGAGGGTCAGCTTGACCATATAGAGGATCGTCTTGTCCTTGTACAGCCACATGTAGTGATTGGGTATGGTCATTGTCTGGAATGTGACCGATTTGGCATTCTTGAAGAACGAATCCGGCCGCCACATGTTCTTCAGCCAATCGACCTCCAGCAGGCGATACTCTTGGGTCATGTTCTCGGGCAGACGCAGGCGATGATCCTTCCAGGTCTGCGCAAAGAACACATCCGCCACGTAGGTCATGGAGTTCTCATCGATGGAGTCCAGGCCCATGACCGTCACATGGAAATAGACTATCGTGGGCTGGCCCTCCTTTTTGGGCGGTCGCATTTTGTCGTAGCGTTTGATGTCCTCCGGCATGATGTCTGTGATCTCTAGACTTTGTCTGCAGTTGGCATTCAATGTGTAAATATCATGGATAAATATTCCCGATTGCATTTACTCACTGGAATTCGCCCTTGGCATACTGCTTGAGGCAGATGAAGCAAATCACCAGCAGGAATATTTGTGCCACCATTTCGCTGAGCCACTCTCAGGGTTCTTCCTGTGTACAGCAGCAGGTGACAAAGGACAATTGATATTGATACATAAATCGGATATTTCCCTGACCTTCGCCTTCGCAAAAGGATCAAAGACGAAGGGCCCCTCCCTCCCGCCGTCCGTCCGTCCGTCCGTCCTTGACAATCGACATTCAAGATTCGAGAGCGATTGACACGTGAAAAGTAGCAACAATTATGCTGCTTGCCCAAGTAAATAAAAATATAACAAAGGACAGTAAATCGTCCTCGGCATTGGCTGGGCTGGCGATACCCTGGCAACCCTGGCAGGCGATACCTGTCCCCCCCCTCTCTGTCGCGCTCTCCAGCCGCACAATACCCGTCTTAATTCACAATTAAAGCCACTCGAAGGCTAACCAGGGGTGGAAGGACGGCTGCGGGTACTGCCGCCGCTCCTTAAGTGGCCCATGCGCCTTTCTATGCGCCTCGCCCCGACGATGATGCGGAGGGGCGCATACAGAACAAGCGGGAAGCAATGAAAGAGGAATCACCGCCAATGCAATGGAGGAGCAGCAGCAGCAGCCCCCCATTGGACAAGGACAATTGTCGGAGGTAGGACTCGAACTCGGGTTTTAGCAAGAGGTTTTTCTTGTAGTTTTTTATTGCCGCAAATTGGGGATAACTTAAAGAATCGTAAATTTGAAATTTTCAGATTTTAATAGAATTTTTAAACAGATTTTGATCCTTTAATTGCTAGAAAATATTCTTCACTAGAAGAATATTAAAAGAAGAAAACCCTTTATGGAATAAGTATTGAAGTTATGAAAAATTTGGGAAATTTTAGGGCTTTTAAGACATTTAATTTGCTTTAACTTATTTGAAATATCTTTGATGAGCTTGAGATTAATTTAGAACTATTTAAAAGTTTATATAATTTTGGAGCATATTTATTTTCTGATTTTTCTCTGCAAAAATTATTAAATTAAAAACTAAGGATTCAAAAGTTTTCAAAAGTTCTGAAACAAATTGTAGCAACATTTTCTTACACAATCAGTAGATAGAGATGGAACCTCCTCAGTTTCTGAAGCACTTAATTTTGGGTTAGATTTCTAGAATCTGTCGAATCTTCCGAGCGATTGCATAACCATCAGCTCGACAATCTCATGGATACACCAATTGCGACACCAATTTTGTTTGCCATTAATTTAACCACTTTCGAATTATACAAATTTTCGCACTAATAAATATCTAGAGATATTTCTGTTTATTTAATTTGAAAGAACTTTAAGATTTTGTTGGGTGGAAGATTTCCCCTTTTTGGTTTTGGTTTTGGTTTGTTCCGATCTGAACGTCTTTGCTGTTCGAACTTGCGCTGGCAACTGACAGTTGGAGGCGCCGCCGATTTGAATTTAAAACGTTGCACGGGTAACCCGAACCAACCGAAGGATGTCAGGCGGCAGCAGGATGCTTGACGCTGATGTCTGTGTGTGCTCGCGGGGAGGGGTGAGGAGGGAGGAGGGTAGGGTTCGTTCTTTTTCAGACTGCGGCTTGGTCGGGAAAAACAAAAGTGAAAGCCCCCTGAAAATGTGTGTAGACTTTAATATCGGGAGGAAAACAAGGAACTAAAGACAGTTACTGCATGGGAGTATATCTGTGTGTGACAATGGATGCGAGCATGACTACTACCACTACTACTACCATATATATGGGACACGGGCAAATATCCTTCTGGCTTCTGCCTTCTGCCTTGTCGTCTTGTGCGTCGTCGTCGTTGTCGTCGTCTGTTTGTCTTGCCTCAGTCACTTAACATAATTTCCACGAGTGCTTTGGCATTGCCTCCTTTTGCCACATAATCTGTGCTCTGCTATGCTCTGCTCTGCTCTCTGCTATGCTCTGTCGTCATCGACATTGTGGCCACATACCGCCTGATGCATTGCCAGGACCTTCATCATGATGCGACATTTGTCTATCGATTTGATGCAATATTTAATTCGGTGAAATTCTTACAGTTTCCTCCAGCCCGCCCTTTGGCCCGCCCGTCTCTAGTTTGAATCTTTTTTGTATTTCGTTCTTTAGTTTTTGTGATTTTTTCCAATCAATTGGGGACTTGTTAGGTCCTTCCGCAACTTGTCAAGTGCTGCCCCAAGGAGTGGCCCATTTGTCGCAGCAAAAGTTGGTCCATGGGGGGGGGGGGCGGGTGAATGGAGGAGGTATGTAGGGGACATAAGTGAGCAGACACTTTGGGACCCCTGTCCACATGGCGGGGCTAATGAATGCAACGGCACAACGGTAATCCAATGAACCCGTCACCCCGCCCGCCTGACGTCACACGGAATGCACAAATCAGAGGGAAAAAATAAAACAGCAAAAGAGGAGAGAGGGCAGAGAGGCAGAGAGGCAGATGAAAATCAAGCCTGGAAAATCAAGTTTAATGAGATGACAAAAGAGCTTTGGTTGAGTGGCCAAAGAGAGGGGGGAGAAGAGCAAAGCTGATGGGAGTGGAGTTTGTTGGGGGATATTCTGGAGCAGAGGGATGCACAATGAAAGGAGGGATATAGCATAGGGTTTAAACTTTAAAGCATTTAAGAGTCGTACTTATGGAGTTTTTATCTTCATTATTTTGTACAGATAAAGAAGAGGAATAGAAAAGGGGAAACAAGATGGGAGATCCATAAATAACGAGAAGGAACGTGCGAGTCGCTCTGGGACGCGACCACTATACCCGTACTCAGTCAGTATATACATTTAGAGCATATGATTTTTAAATTTTAAATTAAAAAAAAAAATTTTACATTTTTTTGCTACACTGCTATCTGCTACTACATCACATATACAATGCTATTCTACACTACATGTAGATTGTACATGTTCATTTGATTCACACCTTCCGCTAGGGGTGCCGCGCACTGAACGCGGCAGGGGGAGCGGGGATCAGTAGCGTCAGCAGCGCTGGAGAGGAGGGGAACCAACAGAAAATTAATTCTCATCTGGCTATAATTATAATCCGACTAGTTCAGATCGGCAACTGGTAGATAGGGCTCTACGATACTGCGTTGTTTTATCGTACTTTAAAGTGCCGCCATTTCGTCCTTTGTGGGGGCGGAGGGGGCGGGGCGTTACGAGGGGAACACATGAGGCTGGAAACCAATTGGTTTCCTAGCTCTATAGCTCTCAATAGGCGCCATCAGACGGACAGACGGACAGACGGACAGACGGACGACGGACGGACAGACGGACATGGCATACGACCGGCTATGAGCTGATCAAGAATATATATCTTATGGGGCGGAAACGTCCTCTCTGCGTGCACACACCACTTACCACAAACTAATATACCCCACTTTTTGAGTACGGGTATAAAAAGAGTTAAAAGCGTTCCCTTTCAATCACAAATTATAGAATAAATTATTATGGAGGAGGAGTATGGATCATGGAGGTCTCACATGATGAATGATCATCAATCTATTTATCAGTCTCTCCGCCCATCTATAGAGGTTTATTCTCACTTTTTTCTGCACTTGGAGCACCCCTAGGGGTGTCTCTGCTTATTATATATAGAAAATAGCTTCCATTTCTCATATAGAACTACATTTTTCTTTTTATTTATACCCAAAGGAAAATATATGCAGATAAATAGATACTCTTCACCCTGGGAATACCTGTTGGGGGGCGGGAAGGGGATGGGATGGAGGAAAATTGCCTGCTCTAACCTTGAAGCAGTTGTCGCCCCACTAGAGACATGTGGGGAGCAGCCCCTCCTCTATTTTGTTCTATACAGATACAGCGAGCCTATAGAGGTCCCTGCCTCAGGGCAGGCCATGGGGCTTTGCCAAACACTCAACGCCTTGCCGCAACACTCTTCAAACGGCACAAACTACACATCACATCACATCACATCCTTTCCTTTCTGTTTCTGTTTCTGGCCTCCGACACAGGCGCCACAAGAAGAAGGACTCGTCGTTATTAAATTATCTCTGATGCGATAATAACACACTTAAGCACCCATAGCCCCAGCCCACACCCCACCCCCCCCCTGCTCATCCATAGATGGATGGGATGGCTATAAAAAGCCGCTGATTTTTCTATAGTTTATTCGAATGCAGTCGAGCTTGGACCCGCACCGAACCGACCTGAGTGCTCGTGCACGCTTTTCACAGAGACGTTGCCCCGGCGTCCTGCTGCTGCTGCTGTGCTGCTGCTGCACCACTAAGTGGTGCTCTTAAGTTTCTGCTGAGGGCAGCAGCCACAGCCACAGCCGCTGCAGCTGCAGCGGTGGAAATTTGCAAAAGGTTTTGGCCGCACTTTCAATTTGAAAAGAGAGGGAAATTTTTGTTTTTTTTTTCACTTGGCTTTTGGCTTTTGACAAGCGGCTACGTCATAGAACGAATTTGTGAAATAAATTATGAACAAACCAAAGAAAATACATAGAAAAAATAGAAATAGATCCTGCCTGCTGGTTGTGGGATGCAATGGAAATGTATTTTGTAATTTAGTGGTTTGTGTGACGTCAATTGCGGCAAGGTCGTGAAAATTATTAAGAAGAAATAAGACAAGGAGGCCTGAAACACCCAAGGCCTGACACGGCGATTCAACTGCTCCACTCAAGCGACAAGTCAAAAGATCGCAAATTTCAAGATGTGGAAGAGTGGAAGGGAGGAGGAGGATTGTGTGGTTTTACTCGTGGTAGAGGTAACTATAACTCAATCTTTTGTTCAATTGATCAGTTGGCATCAATCGATCAACGATATCTTCGTTGCCTTTGTAATTTCTCCGCTTCTCCGCTGCTACCTTTCCAATCTCTCTCTTTTATCGCACTTCCTGGCCATAGAATCGCAGACAAAATGGCATTAAAAATTAATAAGCAACTTGGTGGCGGGGAGGAGCCAACAAACACACACAGTGCCCCACAGAAGCCTGTGACCCACATTTAGCCCCCAATATGCGGAAGTTTGTCTGAATGGAAACCGCACCCATCCCACCCCCTCACTCTCTCTTTGGGAGTCTCTGTCGCTCTCCCTCTCCAACTCTTGTGCGTCCCACCCTCCACTTCATTCATGAAAAGGCCCCACAGCGGAGGACATTGAACCGCTTTGACAATGTTAATAAGGGAGTTGCCCAACAGGGATGGATGGATGGATGGATGGTTGTGGGGTGGTATAGGGACTGGAGAGCCCTAACCAAGCAACAGTTGCCATCGGAGAGAGTGTGTAAAGGGAGGCTCTCTCGAGAGAGAGAGAGAGGAGGTGCGCTTCGCCCAGGTGGGCGGCAGCAATGTTGACAAACAAAACCTGTAGCCGTTGGCCAACACGTGTGCGGTGCCAAGTACCAATCGAAGCAAAGGTGAGGCACACACTGGTCACAAGGTTTCCACTTAGCTATGCAAATGGCTTAAATTTCGTGTCGAAATTGCTGTAGAAAGCGAAAATCCACCCACAAAACAAATTCTCTTGGCAGCTTTACTGCGCCTCACCTGCGCCGTAACTTACCTTGCCTCTGCAGTTTCGCCTCTCTTATCTGCGAGGGAGTGTGTGTGCCTCTGCCTGTGGGTGGGAGAGAGAGGTAGCAGTGTCCGTTATTCGACGATTGCGCCTGCGCCGAATCGGGAAAACCAGCTGAGGCCTGAAGCTGAAGCTGGTGACGTCTCGCTATCGATTTTTAACCGACCCGCAGGACGCGCACTGACTGCAGTTTTTCCTGCTGGCTGCTTGCGCAAAAACAGGAGAATATAGACACAAAAAATGCATTAAAAACCTCAGCGGAAAATCCTCTGATCGGCGACCATCGACTCTCCGCATAATTGCAGGCGCAGCGAGAGTCCTCGAACGCGATCGACAAGATGATCAAACTGCGACCATATGTGCCCTCGAAGCGTATTGCCATACGGGACTCGTCCATCGATGAGGACATCAGCGACGATGTCGACGACGAGGTGTTCATCAAGGACGCGCGCTCGGCCAAGGTGAGTAGTGCCACGAAAAGGTGCCACGAAAAGGAAGAAATTCCAGCCATAATGTAATCCCGGCCATAATTGTACATTGTCCACCCACAGCGCAGCGAGGAGCAGGGCCTGAAGCGCCCACTGATGGCGCCACGACGCAAGCACAGCTCGGGTTCCGTCTCCAGCTCGGGCTCCACTGCGCCCATCATGAAGCTGCACAAGCGACGACGCTGCGGACGCTGCTGTGAGCCCTTCTGCTATGCCCTGGCCGCCATCACCGTGGTCTGTGCCCTGCTCAGCCTCGCCGCCCTCATGCTCACGCTCTTCCCCCTGCCGCTGCAGCGCATCCGGCACTGGTGGCGCGAGGATCCCAACCAGCTGGCGGGCATCAGCGCCGCCGCCGCCGCCTCCTCCTCCGCCAGCATCGGCTATGGCAGCAGCTTGGGCAGCGAGTTTGTGCCCTGCACTCAGATCAGCGTCCAGAAGCGCTGGACACGCAGCCTGGCGCGCATGAACAGCGAGAGTCCGCTGCGAGCGGCGGATCTGAACGGGGATGGCGTCCAGGATGTGATCTTCGGCTATGGCGTGGACGACAACATCCACTACGAGGGCATTCCACTGCCACGCTGCAAGTCCTCGCAGGGCGAGGACGAGGTGCCCTGCGAGGGCGGCGTGGTGGCTCTCAATGGCAGGGATGGCTCCATCCTGTGGCAGTCGTGGAGCGTGGCCAATGTCTTCTCGCTGCACTGCAGCGCAGATGTGGACGGGGATGGCGGCACCGACTGTGTGGCCGCGGGCAGACTTGGGGTGAGCATTGCGAAAGACCTGCCTGTGGCGCGAATCCTTACCGGAAATCCTCCATTTGCAGATGATTTACGCCATCAATGGACGCACTGGCTCGGTTATCTGGCACTTCCGTGAGCTGGAGGTGGAGACCAACTCGCCCATTGTCATGGATCTCTATACGATCAATGTGCTGCGCGATCTGGACGGGGACGCGGTGCCCGAGCTGATTGCCGCCCATCTGGAGGAGCGCGAGGAGTCCAAGGCGGGGCACATCAAGCTGATCTCCGGCAAGACGGGAAAGGTGATCCGCAGCATACCGACGCCCTACCGCGAGGAGATGTTCGTGCCCATCCAACTGCTCACCCAGGCGGACGGCACCGAAGTGCTGCTCATCCTCACAGGTGGCCAGAACACCCCCGGCGGCGTCTACTCCCTCCGGCTGCACTCCCTGATGGCGCACACGAGCGAGAAGCACTTCACGCCGCTGTACCAGCAGCCGGGCTCGGGTCTGATGGTCCCCGCCGTGCTCACCGATCTCAATGGGGACAGCGTCTCCGATGTGGTGGTGGCGGCCTTCAACAGCACCGTCTACGCCTTCGATGGGGCCAACTACAGCGTCATGTGGAACTACACATTCCCGGCCAGCGAGTGCGTGAGCGCCATCGTTCCGGGCCACTTCAACCACGACAATGTCACCGACTTCATGGTCAAGTACAACTCCGGACCGGGCTTCCCCGTCTACTACTACTCGCAGACCACCATCCTGGACGGACGCACCGGACAGCCGCTGCTCAATGCCATGATGACGGATGCCGGCGGGGCCAACAGTCTGCTTGGCGGCGTCTCCATTTCGCAGAGCTTCGGCGGAGACTTCTTCCTGCACTGGCAGATCCAGTGCCGCAACAGGCCCAATGCCCGCGATGCCTACGAGTTTGTGCCGGACAGCGACATCATCCTGCAGGCGCGGGCGGACACCTGTCGCCTGCGCTACAACGAGTCGACGGTGCTGAAGCTCTACGCGATCGCCAGGCACATTGAGCCGCCCGGTGCGGTGCTCTTCAGCACCGACGACCTGGAGGTGCAGCTGAATCGCACACAGCGGCCGGCGCCAGCCGGCAAGCAGTCGCCGCTGAAGCACCCGAAGCTGCTCAAGAAGCTGCTGGCCAATCGGGAGCAGCTGCTGCGACAGGTGGCCGAGGCGGAGCAGACGGTGAAGCGCAAGCATCACAAGCACAATCCCCTGATGGAGCAGCAACTGCAGGAGCTGCTGCCCAATGAGATACCGCCCTTCGGCGGCAGTGTCTATCCCAAGGAGTTTGTAAGTTTTCGATTGCAGTTTGAGGTCTAAGAGTTCCATGCCAGTGATATGATTCCTTACCCGCAGAAGGACTACGAACAGGTGCCACCACTGCAGCCTCCAGATGGCCCCAATGCGATGCGCGTGCCGGAGGAGTACGAGATGGTCTACAACGACGAAGTGCCTCAGCTGATGGAGAACGAACGGCCCATCCATTTGCGCAGCAAATATCCCAGCAACAGCAATCGCGATGTGCGCAGCGGCAGCCTGGACAGCACCACCACTAGCACCAGCAGCACCACCAGTCTGCCGCTGTCCGCCCAGTCGCCGCTCAGCCTTTGGGATCTGGAACTGGACAATGAGGCCAGGGAGCAGGCGGTGGAGGCAGCGGCAGTGGCGGCACAGAAGAGCCGGCGGCGACGCAAGCGTCAGCGACGCGAGGAGACCTCGTCCAGGGCCACCACAGCGGCTGGCGAGGAGGGCGCAGGAGAGGAGAGTTCGGGCTCCTCCGATTGGTATTTGGCCTCCATTTCCTCCACTGGGGTGCTGCTCAAGGCCCTGGGCAATGCGAGCTCCTCGCTGGACTTTGCCTTTGTGCTCAACATACGCGAATCGGAGGCCTATCCGCCGCTCTTCTCCCCCCAGGATCTCAGCTGCGTGGAGGAGAAGATCAGCGCCTACAAGAGTGAGTGCAAAAGAGAACCGGATTGATCCTCAGATGAATCTTAATACTGGGCTGGGCATTCCCTTTGCTTGCAGGCTACACCATCGATAATTTGCGCGTTCTGCGCAAGCAGTTCCTCAAGCAGTGCCTCAGCGAGCGACTGGTGGACTCGGAGCCCGCTCTGCCGAAGTACGAGTCGCAGTTGATTGTGACGCGGATCGGGATCACCTGCACCTGCCGATCGCTGCAGCCGGGCGAGGTCTGCTCCGAGCTGGATCCCCTGGACGCACAACGTTGGACGGAGTTCATGGGCAACCATGGACACGGTTACTATGCTAATCGCTAAACGCCTAAACGCAATGGGAGGCACAACAGGGGCAGCACCTGCAGCAGCTGCAGCAGCGGAATTGGTTTTTTTGGCCGCCGCCTGCAAATACTGCGCCGCCCCCTCCACTAACTCTCTCTCTGTCTATCTCCCTCTCTCTTTGTCTCGATGTCACTATTGTAATTTATCGTAATTTGCGTGTTGTGGGGTTTCTTGTAATGGTAAAACAGTATTTACATGTGTATTTGTCTATATTTTATGAGTTTTTTTAAAACAAAAATAAATTTATTCCAATTTAAAAGTGCGCCGCGATTAGCGGTATATTTACGGTATATTATGACAAAGAGATGGTATATTTAGGTATATTTTTGCGGGTCAGACGGTATATTTAGTCGATAAATGCGCGGTCACACTGCCCTGTTGGCTAAAATAATAATAAAACGCGAACTTTGTGTTTGTTAACTGAATGCCCGGCCCACAGACACTCGCGTCAGCAGCAACATCATGGGCATCCTAGAGAAGATTGCTGAGATCGAGCGTGAGATCGCACGCACGCAAAAGAACAAGGGTAAGAGCCGCCGGCAGCCGACACCACCACCCCACACCACAGACACGACTCTGCGGCGTCTGAGTCTCAGTCTCCGCAGTGCTGTGCTGTCTACCGCATTGGAATTTAGGTTAGGATTTCACCTGACTTGCTTTGTTTGTGTGTGTTTTGTTGCAGCCACCGAATACCATTTGGGTCTGCTGAAGGCGAAGCTAGCCAAGTATCGCTCCCAGCTGCTGGAGCCCACAAAGAAGGGCGAAAAGGGCGAGGGATTCGATGTGCTCAAAAGCGGAGATGCCAGAGTGGCGCTTATTGGTTTTCCGTCTGTGGGAAAATCCACAATGTTGTCCACCCTCACCAAGACAGAGTCGGAGGCGGGTACGTAGCACCATCTATAGATTCCCTACCCCAGCCCCGATTCCACTTTCATTTGATTCTTCCGCCCTCAGCCAACTATGAATTCACCACGCTGACCTGCATTCCCGGCGTAATCGAGTACCAGGGCGCCAACATTCAACTGCTCGATTTGCCCGGTATCATTGAGGGTGCCGCCCAGGGCAAGGGTCGTGGTCGTCAGGTGATTGCCGTGGCGCGCACAGCCGATCTGGTGCTGATGATGCTCGATGCCACCAAGCCGAATGTCCACAGGGACCTGCTCGAGCGTGAGCTGGAGTCGGTGGGCATTCGGCTGAACAAGCGCAAGCCCAACATTTACTTTAAACAGAAAAAGGGCGGCGGCCTGAGCTTCAATTCGACCTGCACCCTGACGCGTTGCAGCGAGAAAATGGTCCAATTGATTCTACACTCCTTTAAGATCTTCAACGCCGAGGTGCTGTTCCGGGAGGACTGCACCGAGGACGAGTTCATCGATGTGGTCACTGCCAATCGTGTCTATCTGCCTTGCCTCTATGTGTACAACAAAATCGATCAGATCTCCATCGAGGAGGTGGATCGCCTGGCCCGCCAGCCCAACTCCATTGTCGTGAGCTGCAACATGAAGCTGAATCTGGACTACATGCTGGAGGCCCTCTGGGAGTCCCTACAACTGATCAGGGTATACACCAAGAAGCCCGGCGCACCGCCAGACTTTGATGATGGTCTGATTTTGAGAAAGGTTCGTTCTAAAAACTCTGCTATAGTCCCTCTCTAATGCTCGTTTCTCCTCCTTTCTCCCCGCCTTTAGGGTGTTAGTGTGGAGCATGTCTGCCATGCCATTCATCGCACGCTGGCCGCGCAGTTCAAGTATGCCCTGGTCTGGGGCACATCCACGAAGTACTCGCCCCAGCGCGTGGGCATTGCCCATGTGATGGGCGACGAGGATGTCATACAGGTGGTCAAGAAGTAGGCGATTCGCGATTCGTTTTGGTGTAACCAGATTGTTGATCTTTGTCTCTGGCCCGGTTGGAAATGAAATATATTCTATTCTATATTTAAAGCCTCGCGAGGATTACTTTTACTTCATGAATAACGATTTATTTCAACGTAAGGATCGTGGGAGCAATCACTTGGCTGCCGCATTGCTGGAGGAAGCGGCCGCCGCCGATGCGTACGATTTGTTCAGGCTGCTAATGGCCGAAATGTTGGAGAAGGGCGTCGGACCACTGCTGATCCGTTGGGGCTCGACTGCTGGTGGCGGTGGATTGTCAATCTTCTCAAAGACATTGGTGGCATCGCGCAGTTTATAGCGTCGCAGATTCAGATACAGCTCCTTCTGCTCCTCGACGCGCTGGTGGAGCTCGTGCAGGCGACCTGCGAGCGAGATGAAGGCCTCGTTGAGCTGCCGGAAGCCGCGCTTCAGGTCCTCGGGCGCGATGCTCTGCGGATTGGCCAGGGCGTGCATGTGCCGTTCGGTAAGCGTGATCTGCTGCCGGAAGGCAATCAAATCCTGCTCGTACTTGACCACCAGGCACTGAAAGTACTGGAACGGCGCATTGTTCTCGTACTGCAGCCCGATGGGCGTGTCCTGGGTTCGCTGTGACATCTCCAGGGACTGTATGGCCTTGGCCGTCTCCAGGCGCAGCAGCTTGATCTGCTGGTTGTTGGTGTCCACCGAGTTGGCCATGTTCTGCAGCGCCCACGCCAGGCTCGTGATCTCGTGCGTCACATTCGAGAACTTTGAGGTGGACGTCCGTCCGATGTCCGAGGAGGTGGTCTTCTGCTGCTTGATGTACACCTTCAGGGCCTCCACCGTCTTGGCTATCTCATCCGGCACTTGGGTTTCCTTGATCTGCCAAGGGAATGCTTAATATGGTCGAATAGCCATGGCCTTCGGGGACTCACCTTGATGCCGTCCTTCTTGTTGTCTCCCAACTTTGGCTGCGTGGCGGTCACATCGATTCCGCCCAGTCCCACAAATGCCGCGGGTGCTGTGGTCTGCTGGCCAGCCGGTTTGCCAAAGATTCCACTGCCCACAGCTGACGTGGTGCCCCCCAGCCGCAGTCCCGTGTTGAATGGCTGCGACGTGGCTGTCGTGGTGTTCGTGTTGAAGTTCAGACTGGCTGCCGTCGTGGCTTGGGGCTTGGCGAACGCAAAGGATCCAATGCCCGCAGTCAGAGCCGGTGCCATGCCGACTGAAGTGGCCGGTGCGGTGGTGGCTGTGCTGCCAAAACCAAAAGCAGGCGGCGCTGTGGTCGGAGCACTCGTGGCCGGTGGCGCAAAGGCGAATGTGGGCGCTACGGTGACGACGGCAGGCGCTGCTTGGCCGAATGGCGATGCTGTTGTAGCTGCTCCGAATGCAGGTGCTGCTGCTGGTGCTCCGAATCCTGGCTGTGCCGCAGGTGCTCCGAATCCAGCCTGTGCCGTAGGTGCTCCGAATCCTGGCTGTGCTGTGGGTGCTCCGAATCCTTGCTGTGCCGTAGGTGCTCCGAATCCTGGCTGTGCTGCTGGTGCTCCGAATCCTGGCTGTGCTGCTGTGGCCGCTGCAAGTCCTAACGACGTGGGCGCCTGTCCGAAGGCTGTTGTCGCTGGTGCTTGTCCGAACGGCGATCCTCCTGCTGCTTGTCCAAAGGCTGGCGCTGCAGTTGCACCAAATGCTGGAGGTGGCGCCGTTGTTGTTGCTGGACGCGCGCCAAAACCGCCGAAACCACCCGCTGCAGGCGCTGTGCCGCCAATTCCAGCATTGGTGTTGGGCGTAAATGAAAAGGACATCTCTTCTGCTCAGATTCAACTAATTACACGGCGAATTTTAAACAATTTAAATAATGAAATAGTTATAAACAAAAATGTGCGTCAGTGGGAATGCAGCAGCGTATCGATAAGCATCCGATGTATCGATATATTTTATGGGAGATCAATTAGTTCTCGTGAAACCCCAAACTGTTTAGATTATTTTTAATTTTAATAGAATCATACATAAAAATACGACTTTTAATATACAGGGCACAGATTAATCAAAAAATTAAATTATACGTGAAAATATGTACATAGTGTCCCTGGCGTAATCATCCATCCCTGGTGCGCACACACACACCACTACGCGCAGAGTTGCTTCTGCATGTGTGTAACTTCGTCATATGACAATTTTCGACCAGCAAATAATTCCATCGTCGTCGTCGTCACTTGCTTTTTTCTTCTTGGTCAGCACAGCACGTAAAACGTAAAGCCAACTTAAAAGATGGCCAGCCAAACGCAGGGAATCCAGCAGTTGCTCGCTGCAGAGAAGAAGGCCGCCGAGAAGGTGGCAGAGGCAAGGAAACGTAAGTCAAATTGGAATATTATTTTTCACCCAATTGGAGAAACAGATACAGAAAGCAAAAGCAACTGTGTTTTTTCACCCACCACCATTTACCGCTCCCCCTGTGCGCCCGCCGCCCACTTATCGACGTTACGCTCGGCGGGTCACATGACTCGCTGGAAAACAGTAAATATTGTGCAAGTTAACGAATAACTGTTTTTTCTGCTTGGATTTTCACCCACACACACACACACACACACATACACAGGCAAGGCAAGGAGGTTGAAGCAGGCCAAGGACGAGGCCACCGAGGAGATTGAGAAGTTCCGTCAGGAGCGCGAGCGCGCCTTCAAAGAGTTCGAGGCCAAGGTTAGTTTTCCCATCTTCGATCCGATTTTGGAACCCAAGCTAATCCGCTACGATCCCATACCTATAGCACATGGGCAGCCGGGAGGGCGTTGCTGCTAAAATCGATGCGGACACCCGCGTGAAACTGGCTGACATGGACCGTGCCATCGTGACGCGCAAGGAGCCCGTCATCCAGGAGATCCTACAGTTCGTCTACAACATCTCACCCGAGGTGCACAAGAACTACAATGCCAAGTAGGGAGTGGGACATAGTGCCTCCATTATCCGTATTCGCATCCGTATCCATCTCTGACGGCGACGTTTCTGATGTAAATTCAATGTCCAAGTTCAACTCTAATGCATAATTTAGCCCCATAATAATAGTGGAAACAATATGAAACACTACTGTATTATTATTCCATAAATTAAAGTGCAAAAATTCGTTGTTGTTCCCCTTTAAAATTGAGAGTTGGAGATATGAATTATTCTGTTAAATGTTCTGTTCAATACACGTTGTTAATTTTATTTGAAATGTCATGTGTTTTTCTGTTTTTTTTTTTGTATTAATTACTTCCTTAATTATTTTATACCTTTCATGTATATATGTACATCTGTACATACGTAGAGTCAGCTGCTTTTTTCTGATAAGAAAAAGTATTAGTGGCTTAGCGATATTTTTCTATGTTCGATACTATCGTCTCTAGGAGATTAGGATGTGGATTCGATTCGAATCGCTGTTCGTACCGCTGAATGGATTTTAATATAGAAACACTAACAATAACTTAATAAACTGGCTTGACCTTCAATTGCTATTCAAAAATCTGTGCATATATCGACATTTCCAAAAATCGACTCCAATTCTACATACGATACGTAGTTATGTGTAGTGTCATACGACCATAAGTAGAATCAAATGATATATATCGGTATTTTGATATATTTCTCATCCCTATAAATTGGCAAACCGTTTTTTTTCCTCTCACAATCTCTCCGCGCGCGCTTCTTGCATACTCAATAATTATTTAAATCTACGCTGCACTTCCTCCAGCGCAAAGTGCAATAATTGAATTGTGATATTAGAAATAGTGCATAACAATGCAGCGGCACAGATGAAAGTTGACCCTGCCGTCAATATTTTTGGCAACACACAAACACACACGCCGCGCGCGCACACACTACTAACACAGATGCCTTGTGAAAGTAGGATAGAAGTGGTGGGGGGAAGCAGCAAGACTCCGCGGATTGGCTAAATTTAAAAGTTGCCACTAAGCAAAATGCTAAATTTAGACAGCGCCGAAGAAGCGTCTACCCCTCCGGCAGACAGCTTGCAGCTTCTGCTGGAGGAGGATGAGGGGACTCCTGCGACGCCTGCTGTCCATCTGGAACCGCCATACACCACCCCGCTGGCCCCCTTCGACATGGAACTGATGCAGCGCGTCGGACTCAGCGATAAGCTGAAGGGCAGCAGAAGTCTCTGGGAGGGCAGACACAGGAGCCGTACAACGACGGATTTTATGGACCAAGAGCGGGATGCCGCCGGCGAAGAGAACCGAAGGTCATCAAGTGATTCACTCTCTGATAAGAGAGCCAGATTCGCTGCAAGGTAAGTCCAATGGAATGGAGCTGACTATATAGAGGAAATATCCATTAAAGATAATTGCGGCTAGTTTTTGTAGACTGTTTTTCTGTAATTGAGTTGGATATGTTATTGTTGTGGATACAGGGTGTTCTAGCAGTAAGTTTTGGGGAAATAGATAGAGGAATGTTTTCTTTCCACTTTCAAGAGCACCCTGTATGCTTTGATCTGTCTTTTATGTTGATCATTCGCACTTGCTACTGCTATATGCATTAGGCACATAAGCAGAAACTGCGATTCACTGTTCTTAGACACATAACCTTAGATAAATAAACTTCTGCTTCCTCTTTCGGATGTGGACTGTCAGTCTGTTCTTCATCATTCAGTGACTCACAGCCAGCGAGCAGATTGTATGGGCAATCAGACATCCCCCTGTTCTGGCGACCCTGTCTGAATATTAATCTACAATTTACGCAGTAATTACCCAATGAACTAATTTCCTATCACAAATAGCACATCAATTTCCCTTTGTGTTGGAAATGGGAAATAGAAGGAAGAGAGGGCGCCTTTTACGTACAAATGTACCTGCCATATGATCTCTGGGCAAACATGTGCTTAGAGTTAGCTCGCCTCTCTCTCAGACGCCAGCTGATTGAAGTACTGGCTAAACTGGGCAATTGTTGCTTGGCAACAGGTGGATTTGTGTGATGCCCTCACTTAGACTACACGTTCTTTATGAAAATGTAAAGCAGTATTTTATTTTATGAAAGTTATATTAAGCGCAGCTTAAATTGGATCAAGCAATTCGAAAGCCGCTGCTTTGTTTAACCGGTACTTTAGTCATCCCAGGAGTGTGTGGTGGGGGGGATTATCATATGCCGGCTTGTCTGCGTCTTGCTCTTCGCCCAGCTGACTTTTCGGCTCTCTCTCTTGTTTCTGCTTGTTGTTGCTGCTGCGCGTTGGGCACCTCACTCGCTCTTTGGCGCTCTCTCGTTGTCAGTGCCAACGCTTGTTGGATTATAATTTCAATTTTCTGAGCACTCAATTCTCAAACATCGGGCGAACCAGAAGCAAAAACTCGCAGGAAAGATTTTTCCGTGCTAGATGTGATATTACACCCGCTGGTGGGTCAATTAATACCTTTAGGTATATACATACGCCCGATCACCTTTCGCAGAAACGGGTTTGCCGTAGTATTTCCCCTTTTTGTGTCTTGTTGTTGCCTGTGGATTAATCATCTGTTTCGCGGGAGAAAAGTAAAAGACAACGGTTTCCTTGCGTGTGTGGGTGTGTGTGTTTGTGCATCTTGCGGATCTTGTCGGTCGGATGATTAAACGGATCATGCATATACTCGTTCAGAATATAGCATAACATCTACATACATTATATAAGAAAAATTCGGGCAAATAATTTTCCGTCACCTTTCGCTGCTTTGCTTCCTTGGATGACAAATATTCGAAAAAGCAGCGCCACAAATGCTTAATAAATTAGTGCCGCTCTCAATGTCTCTCTGTCTGGCTCTGTCTCTCTTGGCCTTGATAAAAACTAAAAAAATGCCAAAATTTCCAATGTGTGGGCCTACAAAATAACAATAACAAATTGTGTGTAAATTTTCATACTTGAGTTTTTTGTTCGAAAGAAGTTGAAGATAATTATGAATCGCCGCGAGCCAAGGCTGAAAAGTGTGTAAAATACGAATGCTTGATGAGCCGAGCCATACACGAAACAAGAGTACAAAAGAGAATGGAGGAAACATAAAGCTTAACGAGAGATTTATGGAAGTATGACAAAGACAAAGTTCAGTCCCTTTATAGAATTCCGCACTGCCGCATATTCTAGGGTATCTTAAGCTTCGATCACCGGAACCAGGCGTTCCTTTCGTGATTCCACTATATAGTTTTTCTCCGGTGGCTGTTCTATTTCTAGTCACTGCCAATAAATATTTTGCATATGTATGTACTTATAAAATGCAGTGGTTCCCAAAATTCATTCTACTCTGCGGAAAATAATTTGTACTCATTTTACTTATACGGACACTTGATACGTCTGAACCATATCTCCTATACCCTGGAACATAATGTTTTTGACAGCCATCTCTACATGTTATTGGCTTATCATTTTTCCCACTTTATTTATAGCTGATAAGAACTTGTGCTCTGCATCAGCCACAATCTTATTAAATGCCACTCAGCATCTTTATAAATTATTCCCCACTTATGAATAACTTCAATTACTCATTCGATTGCACTTTGGCAGTTAAGGTACATTTTGTATTGTATTATTTATGATCGGATATAGTCGTGAATCATAGGAGAATTCTCATTTTTGCAAGCTCAGCCTCAGCCTTTCCACACAAAAGCGACTCACATGAGAAGCTGCTTTTCTAGCGCTCGAATTTCAAGTGTTTGCATATATTATTAACAAATGCTTTTGCCACATTATCAACTGAATGTGAAGCACTGCACTTAGCTCTTAAGATAATATACTGAAAAGACTAAACAGATGGAAACAGACTGCTGGCTAAACAAATAAATGCTGAGGAAAAATAGAGAAATTATTAACTGATGTCACGTGTGTGGGGGCTGCTCTCCTATGCGCCCATTAAATGGTTCAACGTGTTCAAATTGTTGTAGCTTTGGGGGTTCACCCCGGGAGTGACCTAAATAAGGTGAGGGTGTAACATTAACACGCTAAGCGGGGGGTCCTATGGGGACATTAATGGACATCAAACTGTTTTAACCAATAGCCACGACTGAAAGCATTCCATTCCATTGCTGAACTTACATTCTCTGTTACAGCAACGCCTCAACGCTCCAACTGCCAGAAGCTGCTGCCGGGCCACTGGCCAATGGCAAGAAGAACTCCTCCGACCCAAGCAACCATCATCATCTCTCAAGCCCCTTGCTGCCAATGACTGAACCCACTTTGGGGAATAATGGCTACGATGAACGCGAATGCAGTTGCCCCAGGGAGTTCTACCAGCGGGAGGAGATCAACACATCGCTGTTCTTCGCGGACTGCACGCGCTCCATTGACTTTGTGCTGGCCTACAGGATCATGGCCCATGAGCCCACCGAGGCGGAGAACACAGAGAAGCGACGCGTGTTCGAGGCGAATCTCTTGAGCCAGGGCCTAGAGGTCGAAGAAAGCCAAAAGGATCAGATATGTTTCGTAAAGGTAAGCCTGGAATTTCTGCAAAAGAAACCTCATTAATGTGTGTCTTTATTCTTTGCAGATCCATGCCCCCTTGGAGGTGCTGCGTCGCTATGCGGAGATACTTAAGCTACGGATGCCCATGAAGGAGGTTCGTTCGTTCGTCTTTTGTAGCTCACATTTAAATCATTGCGGACTTTTAACCCTGTGTTGAAATTGAGTTGAATCCCATTATTTTTTTTTCTCTCTAAAAGTATGATTTCTTGTATGTTCTTAATGTTTCTTTGTGTGTTTTTAGTCCTTGTGTAATTTGCGTATATATGAAAGAACGAATCGTCTACGGAACGCGGCTCAATACTTATCCAAGAAGGTTGGCCCAGACGTTGTTGAATCAGTTAAATATTTTACATAATTAAAACCTCTAAAACCTAGGCCTTAATGTTGTTTGTGTCCAGCTGTGAGTTGCTGTATGAAAGAAAACCTAATCCCGAGCCTAACATTGTTGTAGAATTATCAATTGAACATATATTTGAATACCTTTTAGTGAGCCATTGCTTTGATTGTCTTGATTTAAATCATGGCATTTCTTATTGAATAATCTATATTCTGATAACTCTTGCAGATCCCTGGCATGTCTGTGGTCAATCGTTCGACAAAAAGCATATTTTCTAGTCTGAAAACCGTTTGCCAATTTTTTCTACGGAATATCCATGTGGATGAGCATATATTCCCCAAGAGAGCGCATCGTTTTACTGCCATTTACAGTCGCGATAAGGAGTATCTGTAAGTGGAAAGATATTCAATTCCCCTAGCCATATTTTCTTTAATTTACGCTTCTTTTTGTTAGATTTGATATACGACAGGATTGCTTCTTTACCACCGCCGTGAGGTCGCGCATTGTGGAGTTTATATTGGATCGTCAGCGTTTTCCTGCCAAAAATCAACATGACATGGCCTTTGGCATTGAACGATTGGTGGCAGAGGGCGTCTACTGTGCGGCATATCCATTGCATGATGTGAGTTTGTTTACACAAGATATATAAAAGGTATTTTTAAACTGATATTTACTCCTTTTTTTTCAGGGCGAAATAGTCGAAGCGGGCACCATGAGAGCTTTGCTCTACAAGCATTGGGCCTCTGTGAAGAAGTGGTATCGCTATCAGCCTCTGGATGACATCAAGGAGTACTTTGGTGTTAAAATTGGTTAATTTGTTTTACAAGCACCAAAGAGAGGCTGTTTTACTATATGTATATTCCCTCCTCAGGTCTGTACTTCGCCTGGCTGGGTTACTACACCTACATGTTGCTGCTAGCCTCCATTGTGGGTCTAATATGCTTTCTATACTCCTGGTTCTCCCTTAAAAACTATGTACCTGTGTAAGCTTTACAGTTCTGTCATCCACTGTAGCCCCAACTAATTGAAAATTGCTCTGTTTTAGCAAAGATATTTGCCTGCGTGCTAACACAAATATAACCATGTGTCCCCTCTGTGATTGGTGCAACTTTTGGGACCTAAAGGAGACCTGCAATTATGCCAAGGTCACGTATCTCATCGACAATCCGAGCACGGTTTTCTTTGCCGTCTTTATGTCCTTTTGGGCCACCCTCTTCCTGGAGCTGTGGAAGCGCTACTCTGCGGAGATTACCCATCGATGGGATCTGACGGGCTTTGATGTCCATGAAGAGCACCCCAGGCCGCAGTATTTAGCCAAGCTGGAGCACATACCACCCACCAGAGTGGACTATGTGACGAACATCAAAGAGCCAACGGTTCCCTTTTGGCGCATGAAGCTGCCGGCGACTGTTTTTAGCTTTTCGGTGGTGCTGCTGCTCATCGCCTTGGCTTTTGTGGCTCTTTTGGCTGTGGTCGTGTACCGCATGTCCATGCTGGCTGCATTAAAAGTGGGCGCCAGTCCCATGACCACCTCGAGTGCTATTGTTTTGGCCACTGCCTCGGCGGCTTTTGTGAATCTGTGTTTGCTCTATATCCTCAATTATGTGAGTATGCCACTTCAAATTATTTGTTTAACTTATTTATCTGATTTTACCCTTTCTGTTCAGATGTACAGCCACCTTGCGGAGTACCTCACAGAGCTGGAAATGTGGCGCACGCAGACGCAGTTCGATGATTCCCTGACACTCAAGATCTATCTGCTGCAGTTTGTCAACTATTATGCCTCGATATTTTATATAGCCTTCTTTAAGGGAAAATTTGTGGGACATCCAGGGCAGTATAACAAACTGTTTGACTATCGACAGGAGGAGGTGGGTCGCCACCATTGAAAGTAACCTTCCATTTGCTTATATTTCCCTGATCTCTCTTCCAGTGCTCTTCTGGTGGCTGCCTGACAGAGCTGTGCATACAGCTGGCCATTATAATGGTGGGCAAGCAGGCCTTTAACACCATACTGGAGGTATATCTGCCCATGTTCTGGCGCAAAGTGCTGGCCATTCAAGTGGGATTGTCACGACTGTTCAACAACGCCCCAAATCCCAACAAAACCAAAGACGAGCGTTGGATGCGCGACTTTAAGCTGCTGGATTGGGGCGCACGCGGTTTATTTCCCGAATATTTGGAGATGGTTTTGCAATACGGATTTGTGACCATTTTTGTGGCAGCCTTTCCGCTGGCTCCGTTCTTTGCTTTGCTCAATAATATACTGGAAATGCGTTTGGATGCCAAGAAACTGTTGACACACCACAAGCGTCCCGTGTCGCAGCGTGTAAGGGACATTGGCGTATGGTACAGAATACTGGATTGCATTGGAAAGCTAAGTGTGATTACAAATGTGAGTGAAACAGGGCATATCCTTAGGGAAGCATCTCTAATTACTGTATTTTGTAGGGCTTCATCATTGCCTTTACATCGGATATGATTCCGAGACTGGTCTACCGCAATTATGTCTCCAAAGACGGCACCTTGAATGGTTATCTGGATTTTACACTCTCCGAATTCAAAGTCTCCGATTCACCCACCTTAAATAGCCTCGCAGGCGATCTCTCAAACATAACATCGTGCAAGTATGGCCTGCCGGATGATTTTCTGTTTGGAATGTGATACCAAAATGTGTTTCTTTCTTGCAGATACACAGACTTTCGGTTGCCGCCCTCATCACCGGATAAATACGATTTAAGCAGCATGTTTTACATAATTTTGGCCTGTCGCTTAGGATTTGTGGTGGTCTTTGAAGTGAGTTGAAGGCGAAAACTGAGGCAAAGTAGCATAGATTTCGCTTTCCAGCTTTAATTTCATTTTATTTTCCTATAAATGCTTTAAGACATTGCTTTAAAAATCAAATCCCCTGAGGATACTTAGTTTCAGGCATTGAATGTATGCGGATTCTGTTGAATGGCTTCGATATTTTCATTTGGTGTAGACTTAAGCTTCCGATAGAGCGCATATATGCCATAGGAAACCAATGCATTGAGCACTACACACAGAAAAATCAATTAAAATTTAACCAAAAGATATAAATTATGTGATAGCCCACCTAAAAATACGCCGAAGATGAGACTGCGCGCTATCCGACGATCCACTGCGGCATCCACTTCATCAATTCGAAGTTCTAGACTCACAAAAATGCCAGTTTCCACGGCCATCGATAGATAGGTGTTGATCAGCCAAGGGGCAATGCAAACCAGTCGTTTCTGTGGATAAATCCAAAATTTAAACAGGGAATATTCCATATTTTTATGACAATTCCATTACCTGCTTAATGCCATCGACTAGAAGGCAGGCCACTGCCAGATTTATCAAAGCCTTGACCCAAATAATGAGTGTGGCAGTCATGTAAAAGACCTGCGAGAATTCACGCACCCAGAGATAATCCACTGGAAAAGTTCTTTCTCTTTAGCATGCATTTATAACTAGGTTTCTTTCTGATTTACCCAAAGTAGAAACAAATGTGCCAAAGGCACTCAAGGCCTCCACATCGTTGGTCTGCTCCCATCTCTCGATATCCAAGTAATCAAAGTACAGATAATACGTGGAGGGGCAGAGTATGCTCAGGGCTATAAGGATGTCCAGTACGGCTATGCTAAGACCCACTGAGGAGAGGCTCAGAAATTCAAAGTATTTCATTTTGAAGGGCTTGAACTGTTGGAAGTGGTAGATGAAGTCCTTTTATTATTGATTTTAGCTGCTTAATCCTTGAATTTGTTAGTTTATAATCGTATCGTATCCTTTGGTTATCCTTTGCTATCACACACACCACGTCCGCTCGTCTCGAAGTATTCAAAGCTACTGTCTGCAATGTTCCAACTGTCGTGCAGAACTGCCCTACCGCAACTTATCCATTTAGTTGGCATTTCATTTTATTCTATTTTCAGTTTCTTGACATTTTGCTGCCTCTCTCTCTCTCTCTGCTTGTGCTGCTGCCAAAGTCCGATCTATGTGTGGGGGTGCATGCGCTGGTTTCATTCTATGGGGTTTCTATGTGCGTTCCCAATTCTCCCGAAAATATTAGGGTTGAGGCTAACACCTGTCTTAGCCCGTCTTAGCCAATTGCATTTACTGTCGCTTGACTGGAGAACAAATACGGCTTCTTCGTCCACAGCGGGGTGGTGTGACCCACAAATGATGGACAAATGTTGACATGATGATGAAATATTATTCTCTTTTTCAGAACTTTGTCGCTCTGGTGATGATTCTGGTGCGCTGGTGCATACCCGACATGAGTGTGGAGCTAAGGGATCAAATCCGTCGCGAGGTCTATGTCACCAATGAGATTATCATCGAGCAGGAGGCACATCGTGCTCGGTTTGGTAAGAGACATAATCCTTTCTTAAAGATATTCTTTATACTAAAAGTTCATTGTTTCAGAGCGCGCCAAGCGCAGCAGTTCGGTTCTACAGACCTCACCCGACCAGGAAATGGATGCCTCTTCGATCCAGGAACCCAATGCCAAGTTCATAAGCATTGAGAAGCTGCTCACCGAGAATCTTACACAAGTGGAACTCGATGCCATCATCCATCTGTCGGATCCCCTCACAGGCATTGCGGGGGCCAACGCCTAAACGAAAACTCCTCAAATTTGTGGCACAAATGCAAATGCTCCTCAAACTGAATCTCCAGCTTTAAGTTTCGTTCAAAAGTGATTCAATGTGTTATGGAATGGATGTTCCTTTCAGTCACTTAATTAGCCTTTAATTTTCGACTCAATTGTTGATTTTGGTTGAAAGCTTTACTCATTTGCACAATTGTTATATAGGTTCATCTTTTTTACTACAAATGCTTAGCACAGACTCAAAAGTAGTATAAGGAGTGCCCCTCCCCCGCCCCTCAGTGAGTGCCAAACAATTGGCAAATAATTTCCTTAGTGAAGAAATCTCACCAAATATTATAGAACTCAGGCTCTCTCTCTCTATTTTTATGATAGATAAAAGTATATATTTATGGCATTCATCGCATTGTACATTGTATATTGATGTTGGTATATTGAAATCTCTATTTTATGTTGGATCATACAAACAATAATCGTAATAAAAAATGTATTTTAAATGAAGCGATTTAATGGAAGCCTTTTTGGAGGTTCAGAATTTGGAAATATTTGTAGATTCCCCATATATAAATTATATATTTACAGGACGTATCTATCAATTGCCTGTCAGTTTTACAATCGATTGAAAAATATGTTTTAGATAATATTAAATATGTATTCAATGTATTTATTAAGTTTTAAACAGACTTCTAAAACGGTTTGTAGATTACTAATTTGATCTAAGTGTTTCAGGCTGATAGCTGTATCGATATGCCCTGCTGTTCCCATAGTAGCGCTCTGTGACGCCATCGACCAGCCCTGGTTCTACCATCCCACCCCATGCCAAATCATTTTTGATATATTTTTTGTTGGCCAAAGAGCGTCATGGGGCGCAACAAGCATGCATTTTTGTTGCCCCCAAAGCATGAAAAAGTTCCCCAAAAGAGTGCGCGCTCTCTCTCTCGTTGCGCATGAGTCGCATTAATGACGTCACTAGAGAAAAGCGTGTTCACGTCGGGTCGGCACGACGCCATTTCAGCTGTTTTTGCCCTCGCTGGCGGCAAGCACATTGCGGGCCATAAAACAAATAAATTTTCATTCGTTTGCCTCGTTTTCCACAGTGCAGAGTGCCGCCGCCGCAGAGAAAAGCCCCCGCCGCACGGAGAAGCGAACAGCCGAGAGTGAAACGCGGCACTTGGCTGCTGCTGCTGCTGTTGCCGATTCGATTCCTGTTTGGGCGATTGGCTTTCAGTTTACTTTACGGATTTTCCGAGTCAACAACGCAAGCAAAGCAACGCAGGACCAACGCCATGCGGGGTTCGTTGGCCGTTTGCCGTTCCCGTTGCCATTGCAGTTTTCCTCGTTTTTCCGGTTGCGTTGTGGCCACTGGCCAGTGCAGTGCCTTTCCTGGTGCCTTTTCCCTGACGACTGCATAGTGGACGAGACTCCACTGCTTCGTTGTCCTGGGAACTTTCGAAGCGCTGTCCATAGGTCAACGTGGAATCTTTTCGGTGAGTTATGAATGCAAAAGTTTCTGCTGTTAATTTAATTGTATTATTATGATAATTAAATGCCATGGAAAACATTTTAAAGCGGCTTAAGGCATAAGTTCTTTTGTTTGTGGTTTCCTCCCAGCTATCGATTTTTGGTAGCCGGCAAAAATATTTGAGCATAAAGAAAAACGTGTCGTTGTCCCGCTGCAGGGTAGATCTCTCTCCTTGAGGATGGGAATTGCGACAGTTGCAGTGTCCTTTGTGCTGAGAGCGGAAGGAGGAGTGATTCTTTGTTGTGTTGTGACAGCCATGGAAATCCAACTAAGTGCCAACGATACCCATCAAAAGCGTTGATTCCCATCAGCAGCAGCAAAGGTTCCTTGACCTTCCGCAAGCTTAAAAAAAAAACGATACAAAAGAAAACGATTAAAGGAAAAACTTTTTGGGGCTGCCTTTATGTTAATGGTGCTGATTATTGATTTAATAGAAGAAGCTTCGCTCCCACTCTGTTTTCCTGGGAAATTTAATATTAATTCAATAATTGCACAAGTGTACCCGCTCTGGAAACGCTTAAGCAAAGTAGTTTCAATTATTTACTTGGGATTCGGTTGCCAGCCAGCTGTCGTGTGGGTCGTGGGCTTTAATTACCCTTCGGGTCTATCAACCTCTGACCCTCTTCCTGCGTGGATTACACTCTGTACACACATGGAGTGCCCGCAACCCCCTCTTCTACAAATATCCCCTTAAAAGAGTGCTAAATAATGCAAAAACATGCTCTAGTCGTAGGAGGCTAGCTTCCTGGTATTCGTGTTGTTTTGTTTATTCAGCGAGATATCTCCAGTTCTGACATTGAATAATGATGTGCTGCTGCCTGCTGCTGCTGCCTGCTGCTGCCTGCTGCTGCCTGCTGATGGTAATGCCTTTGGCAGCATGAATATGAAATGAAATACATTTGGACAACCTTATTCAGTAAAATCCAGAGGGGATAACCTCTTTCATTCAATGAATACTGTTGAGAAAAATCACCCATGCGACAGGTGAAACGTGTAAGGTTTACCCCTGGAGGGTGCCTACCCCCCAAAACGTATCATCTTTAATCTTTGAATATTTTATTTTTATGGATTAATCATCAATTTCACCTTTCGAATGGCACTTAGCATCCCAGCAATCGCTAACATCTAAATATTTAGCAATAATTTCGTTTAAATTACGTATACGCCGTGCTCTGCGCAATGAACATTTCCGGTGAAACGGTGAAAAAGGCGAAACATTTTGCTAATTTAATTTCTTATTTAATTTCTTACATTTTGTGCAGCATTTACGCTGCAGCAAATTCCCACATTGTATGCCCATTCCTTAAACATTTTATGTACCAGAAAATCAAAGAACCAAAACAGAATCCATCAGAAACCAAAACTAATTGCTTCGATAGGAAAACAACAGAAGCCAAACACTCAAACAGGAACCAACAAGTGGAGGCTGAATGAATGGAATTTCCTTTTCAACATGGGGAAAAGCATAAAAGCAGGAATCCATAGAAACGGTTGACGCATGGAAAATTTTCTCATATTTTTGTGGGGGCTTAAGGGGGCTTTCTTTGTATGCAATTTCCTACCCAAAACTTTTGCGTATTTATCACCGTGCCACACGCGATTTGCTTGCTTATAAATTATAGCAATGTCTGCTCTTCCTATATATATTGTGAATGTCCTTGAGTTATTCTATAAATAGAATCCCCCCTGGTGAAACTCTCAAAGACAACGATGTCAAGTTCTGGTGACACACGACAGGGGATTCTCTATCTACCCCCTTGGATACCACTTTGGACACCGCTGTGTGTCCGTTTCGTTAGCACAATTGTAAAATATATTAGATAGTAATTTTCACTTCTTATATACATACATACATACGAGAAACACCACGCACAATGCTCGCTGATGATTTATTGGCAGTGTTTCTGTTTCTGCTGCTGCATATATTTGGAGTAGGACTTGGAACTCCTCTGTTTTAATTGCCTGGGTGAAAGCCGATCCAGTTTCGATACAATACAAGCCCAGCCGCCTGCTACAATCTGCGTCATTCGAGCATTTAATTAATTTGTTATTTTGCATCGCATTCGCATCCAAATTAGCGGAGACATAAATCCAAGCCGATAAACAGAAAAACCCACTCAAGCATAAGCATAACTAATTTTAATTTAAATCACACGAGTAATAATTAAGAGCGAATCATCCAGAAAAGTTAGAGGTGATTCAATTTAACATCAGGATTAAATTAGTAGAATTAAGGAAGGTAATCAAAACACTAAGCAGAATCATTTCTGTACCTAATTTTATTTCGATTTCCTATTTTTCATCTTATTCCAAATCTCTGCTCATTTCCATTGCTCTTCACCCATTTATTAAATCATTTCCCTAATCAATTATCTCCCCCAATCCCCAAAATCCTCTTTAATCCCTAAGAATTTCACTTGTTTCTTCACTTTCTGAAACCTTCAGCCATCCATATTCGCCTCTTTCTAGCCGCAAATCACTTTTAAAGCTAATTCCAAAACCCCATTGATACTGTGTTGGATTGTTAAACAAATTAAACTGATAAGTGTCACACTTTTGATGGCAAACAAGGAACAGTTCTTATCAGGGGGCATTTGTTTGAACACCTAATTAATGAATGGAATATATTAGAGGAGAATGAGATACAGGGAAATCTATAAGTAGTATATAATTCTCAAATTAGTTTTCTATATCAAGTTTAAATATTATTGACATGTGAAACTGTCGTATTTGATTAATATCGT